CTCAACAAGATCACAAAGAAAGATAGGTATCCGCTGCCGCGTATCTCTGATCTCCTAGACGTTCCTAGCCATGCGAAGATCTACACCAAGCTCGACCTCTGCCATGCATACCATTTGGTGCGGATAGCAGCAGGTGATGAGTGGAAGACTTCGTTCCGCACATGCTATGGATCCTACAAGTGGCTTGTCATGCCATTTGGTCTGACCAACGCACCCGCAGCCTTCCAGTGGTTCGTCAATACCATCTTTACTGATCTGCTCGACACCTGCATGGTAATCTACTTGAACGATATCCTGGTTTATTCGGAAGATGAGACTCAGCATGAGGATCATGTCCAGGAAGTCCTAAGTAGGCTATGCAAGCATGGGTTATTTGCCAATCTGCAGAAGTGTGAATTCTCAACCGACACTATGGAGTATTTGGGCTACATCCTTTCACCGACTGGTTTGTCCATGTCACCTGAAAAGATTCAATCCATTCAGGATTGGCCTGAGTGTTAGAACTGGGCAAGGGCGGACAATTCCGGAGGGGAACTGGAGACTTAACAAGGAGGGACCTTGGCCTCAGCAACTCAAGCGGAGCGCTGTGCCATTGCTGTTTGTCCATTTGGTCCTTAATTTCACAGTAGGTGAGCAGGAAGTCTCTAGGGGGCATTTCAGGTCGATTTTAGACTAAGGGCTAAAATGAGTATGTACAAGTGCTGATATATAATGGAGGGGGTGAAAGCACAAGGAAACAAAGGGGATCCGAATCGGAACAAAGGTGTCTGAACAGGGACAAAGGGATGACAGAAGTGGAGCGGTACTGAAGGTCATAAGGCAGAACCTGTGGTACGTCCGAAAGGAGGTAAGGAGGGCGAGGCCCAGAGGGGCATGAGGATGAGGGGAAGTGGGGATGATGACTAACTGGCTAGAATGGGAAGAAGCAGCAGTCCAAATAGGGATGAGGGGAAAACGTGAGGGATACATTACAAGCGGTGAAAGTGCCAAAGGTGATCCACGGAGCTTGGAGGTTATGGAGGTTATGGAGGTGGGGTTGAAAGTCCGAGGAATATTGGCAATGGTGTTTACATAGTATGAGGTCACCAATGCAATGGACTAAGACCAAGGTGGAGTCAAAGTCTGAGGTAGGAACTATGATGGAGGCTCGGAGCAAAGGTATGATTGGTGTCCCTAGACGCTGGGATGTCTACCCCAAAGAAGGGGATAGGGACTATGCCCACGTCAATCTGCAGAATTTTCGCCCTGTCTTTACCACAGAACAGCTCTTGGCCTCCCTATGAGCCACCTGTCTAGCCACTCCAGTCCTCCAGGCCAGCTCTATGGTTGACGTCGAAGCTATCCACAAGGACTTTCTCACCACCCTGCCATCCGACCCCTCTATTGCCGAATATCTCTCTGATCCTATCCCTGCAGACTCTCATTGGTCCCTAGATGTGGACGGCCTGTTAAGGCTCGATAAGCGTATCTACGTACCGGACACAAACGATCTTCGTCTCAGGCTCTTGAGATACAAGCACGACCATCCACTCTCTGGACACTTTGGTCAGAACTGCACATTGGATCTGGTCCATCGAGAGTATACTTGGCCAGGTATCCGTTCATTCGTCAAGGACTATGTCTCATCCTGTACTGCCTGCGCCTGTGCCAAGGTTCCTCATCACAAGCCCTATGGCTTGCTGAAACAACTCCCCGTCCCCAGTCACCCATGGAACTCGATATCCATGGACTTCATTGAACAGCTTCCCCCGTCCTCTGGCTTCACGGCCATCCTGGTAGTCGTTGACCGTCTTTCTAAGCAATGTGTCTTTATTCCTATGCACGATACCATTGATGTGCCCAGTCTCGCCAAGTTGTTCCTCCTTCATGTATTCTCGAAACACAGCATACCCTCTCACATCACTTCGGATCGAGGATCCGAGTTCGTATCCCATTTCTTCTGCTCTCTAGGTAAGGCTCTTGACATCTGCCTTCACTTCACTTCAGGTTATCACCCAGAAGGGGATGGTCAGACCGAGTGGATGAACCAGATGTTAGAACAGTATCTTCGGGTGTATTGCAACTACCAGCAGGACAATTGGGCTGAGTTATTGCCCCTGGCTGAGTTCGTGTACAATAATGCCCCCAATGCTACTACTGGTGTCTCCCTGTTCTTTGCCAACAAGGGATACCATCTGACCCTCTCCATCCATCTGGAACGAGATTTGACTTCAGTACGTGCCCAAGAGTACTCAGTTGATCTCGATTCCTTACATCAGTTCCTATGTGAGGAAATGTCCTCAGCGCAATGGCGTTATCAGGGCCCTGTGGACGCTAGATGCTCACGCGCACCCGACTTCAAGGTTGGTACATTGGTCTTTGTTAAGGCTAATTATTTTAGATCCACCTGACCCTCAAAGAAACTCTCAGAAAAGAATCTCGGGCCCTTCGAGATCATCGCTGTGCCAGGAACCCACTCCCACACCATCCGCCTTCCTGAGACTATGAGAGCTGTGCACCCAGTCTTTCATGTGTCCCAACTCGAACCGGCCGTCCCCAACACCATTCCCAACTGCGTACAACCTCTGCCTCCACCCGTTGAGATTGACGGTGAACCTGAGTATGAGATTGCTGAAATACTAGATTCAAAGTTGGATTGTAGGCGTCGTAACTGTAAGTTACTGTACCTGGTACGTTGGCTCAGGTATGATGGGACAGACGAAGAGACTCCTTGGTTGCCGGCCACAGAGCTTGGCCATGCCTCTGACTTGGTTTCTGACTTCCATGCGCTGTATCCTAACAAGCTGGGCCCCCACTTTTCTTAGCGTACTCATGTGTCAGAACTGGCCATGTGTTTAATAGGGTATGGCACAAATGGAGGTATATACAAAACAAAAAAAAATGATGAAAAATCAGGGCAACGTGCCCACACCATGGGAAGTATACATGGGTGGGTCACCTGCTCCCCCACCGTCCGATTTCTCCTTCTTCTTCCTCGACCTCTCCTCCTGCATAATCTTGGTGACCTTGTTGGGCAATTGCCTCACAGCGTCAGTCAGCTCCTTGAGGGCATCAATGATCGCCTCACCCCACTTCTCCATGTCACCCCCATCCTCATCCTCCGTATCCTCTCCCTCATCCTCAGACACTTGTGCTGGCACCTTGGGTGAGATCACCCACTGTTTCTTCTGCTGCAAGGGCGTTGCAGTCCCCACTCAAATCGTGACCAGGTGGTATTTGTGTCAGGGCACACCCGCCTGACCCGGCTCCGCCCAGCCCAACCTGACCCGGTACCCCGCCAATCCACCCTTCCTTACCTCCTCCCCCTTTCCCTTCTTCCCCCCTCATCCTCCCCTCTTCTGTTTCTCCTTATCTTACTTCTTCTTTATTCTCCCTTCATTCCACACAGACGACTTTCTCTGTATCAATGTACCATTGACCCACCTGCAGCGTGCCCACCATGTACCCGGCCCGGGCACCTCGGGCGACCTCCTGCTGTGCCCAGCACGCGTGCCTGCACCGGATGCCCTCGGGATCTCCCACGGAGACACCCGGGTGGTTACGGCTGTGTGCGAGGGTGACGTGGCACCCATCATGTGATCCAAGCCGCATGTATATAAATGAACCTGAAGTGGGAACCAAAGAAGTAGCCTTCTTCTCAACCTTCCACTTCAGGTAAGTAGTACAATACCTCTCCTTTAATGATAATAACAACCTTCCACTTCAGTCTAAGTGGCCAGGGACCACTGTCCCGCATCGGGCCTGTCAGTACGCACGCCTGATCCGCCCCCCGCCAGGCTCTCGGTCCAGGACGCTACACCCGGACCCCCTCGACCCCAGATGAGTCCCTGACAGCAGAAGAAGGCTTCAACTTCATCTCCCCTGCCTCCCCTGCCTCCCCTGCCATGGTGACAGAAGAACAGTACGATGACCTCCTAGCCCGGTTCCAGGAACTGCAGGCTATTGTGGAGAACCAAATCCTTAACCATCCCCCACCCGCTCCTGCGTCTGCACCCACACCCACCCCCGCACCCGCTCCCACACCCGCCCCCAGACCCAAGCCACCTAAGGTCGCCCCCCCCACGCCTTTCTCGGGAGCCAGTGAGGACCTGGACCGTTTCAAAGCCGAATGTGGAATCTACTTCCACGTCTGCGCGTCCAAGTTCCCCACCGCCCTCTCCCAGATTCTCTTCATGTTGTCCTACATGAAGGGAGGGCCGGCAGGAGCATGGGCAACGCAACGCACGATCTCGCTGTTGACGGCAGGGTCCCCGGCACTGACCATGGATGAGTTCAATACGGAACTCGACGACATGTTCCAGGACCCAAATTGGGAAGCCACCGCCCGGCAGAAGCTGGCGGCCATTCGACAGGGGAGCGACTCCGTGGACAAGGTCATCCAGGAGTTCGAGATATTAGGGCCTGCCTCAAGACTGGGTGACGTAGGGCTGGTGGACCGCTTCGAGCAAGTGATCAACGCCCGGCTCCACGAGAGCATTTACCGTCTCCACCCTATGCCCACCACCTGGGCTGAATGGAAACGCGAGGCCACCCTCCTCGACAACCAGTGGCGACGTTTCCAGGCCACCCAGCCACGAGCACCCCCACCTAGACCCCCACTCCCACCAACCAGACCCCCTCTAGCCACCACCCCTCCCTACGCGTGGCCCACACCCACAGTGTTGGATTGACACTGGTCACAAATTGTCACATGGTCAGACACTGACGGGTCAAATTCGTATCAGATCACGTCAATTCCGCGTCAATTGCTGGTCAATCCCCGTGGGAACATGAAGCGAGCACGCATCGAGATGGCAACTGTCATGCCAGTGCCGACCCTCCCTCCCTCGAAAAGATTTGGTGTGGGTTGTAGTTAAATGTGAAGCTCTCCGAGCACCAGCCATCTTATTAGTTTTGTGAAATTAAAGTGTCCATGCAACTTGAACCCTGATGGTGCTTAAGGCTTAGTTTAAAATTTTAAATGTGAATAATCCTTCCACTTCCTACATCACGCTTCACCAATGGGTCTAGCACCTAGCCCCCTCTGGGAGTTCTTTCACAAATTGTCTGAGTTTTATGGGAATAATAAGACACACTATGCTGCTATATGCAAAGGGTGTATCGAATCACACATCACAGTGCTTGAAAATGAAGACACGGAAAAATTGATGTCGGGTGCTATATCCGAGAGATGTGGTGAGGTGGAACTCAGGGCAGCTGGTATGTCTAAACACAGCTTAGCGTCTCCTAATGCCAAATTATTCTAGCAAGCGAACTCCCTCCCAAAATCCAAGGATCTACTGCGAGGCTTGCACAACACCTAACAGTATGCACACATGCTTCTGCTGAAGGCCGTGAGGCCGGAATGGCCTGGAAACGTGCACGAGAGAAGCAGCCTTCACCCCTCCCTTGGCTATCTATCAGCACTGAAAATCCGTCAACTATCCACACCTCTCCATCTCCATCTCCGACCCCTCTGCTACTTGTCCCTCCCACAGACAACATTCCAACTCGCTGGAGAAGCTTCTCACAAATTCCACCTCACCCCCTAGATCTAGATCAGGCTGTACTTGACAACAATTGCTTCGCGCAATTGTGTCAGCTGGGTGGTCTTTTCTCTCAGTTGATGATCCAGAGGTCATCAAGCTGTTCTCTCTAGTGGGAATTAAACTCCCACCTCGGAAGCGCCTATCGGGAAAGGTCCTAGATGCTGAATACAATTCCCGTCAAGAAGCATTAACTCAAATGATGGAAGGTGCATATGCAACTGGGCAATGTGATGGATGGAAAGACACATCTAGGAATCACATTGTTGCATTCATGATCTCATGTATGGGAACGGTGAGTTACAATAATTTCTAGTGTTTTTTGTAATGACTATGTAACGCAATTTAGGTATGCTTGACACATGTTCATAATACCTCAAGTGAACGGAAGACAGCAGAAAGGTTGCTGGCACTCATCAAGGAAGAGAAGGACTACATTGAGGATAGACTCAAACTAAAGCTCATTGGCTGGGTTTCAGATGCTTCAGGAGAATCAAGGGCTGCACGCGTTCGGTTGCAGGAGCAGTTCCCACACTTGATTGTAGCGGACTGCTATGCACACCAAGTACATTTTGTGGGGATTACTTTGCAGTTGATTCATTGACTTATTTCTTGCACAGATGCAGCTTGTGCTTGGGGATTACATTAAAAAAAATGGGCAGATGTCACTGAGGCTGGCCGAGGCAAACGACGTTATTAACTGGTTCAACAATCACTCAATTGCACTTCATTTACTATATGCGGAGCAACGCCGCACTGCAGATCGAGCAAGGGCTCTTATTAGACCTTGTATCACTCGGTGGACATCCCACATAATGGCCATTGGCCGGCTAATCCAACTGGAAATTCCATTTAAAACCATTGCAGTGAGGAGTAGAAAGGAACTTGAAATGGCTGCTGGAACACGGCGTGACACAATCACAAAAGCGCAGCAGATTCTTGCAATAATTCAGGATGAACACTTCTGGGATGACTTGAAACAGTGAGTTAGAGTACTTTATCTCTCTTCTGCTACGAAATAACTCCTTTTTAGGATCAAGGAGCACATTGAGCCACTTGCCATTGCAGTCAATGTTTGTCAAGATTCCAACACTAGGGCCGATCAGGTAGTGCTTATTTTTGGTCGCCTCTGCAAGTACTACACCGATATTTCTGCTACGGCATTGGTCACTCCTGGCAACAACCCTTCACCAATCCAAGCTATTCTTGACAGTCTGGATTCCCGCTGGAAAAAAGTCGACCATGATGTTTTTATTGTAGCTGTCGCACTCAATCCATTTGTCAAGACTACACTCTTTACACCAATGGTCTCTATTGCACTCCTGGTCGCCATGATAGAAAGGCTATACTGCCGCGTGTTTGAGACAGATGCACCTGAGGCATTGGGCCCGCGCAGTATTGCATATCTCACGGATCCGCATGATGCCTTTGGTTATACTGGTGGTGACTGGAGTCAGAATAACCTACGCAAGCGGATTCCGGTAAGAATCCCCATGTTTTATATGTGTAATTTCTCAGGTCTTTTCTCCTTAGGACTTCAATCCACTCAAAGCATGGCGATGTGCACACATCACGGACCCAGTTGCAAAGCTTGCAACCCTCATTTTCTCTTTTGTTTGCAATTCTGCCAGTTGTGAGCGATTCTTTTCTATCACTGGTGACACCAAAGATCCTTCCCGAAACTGGCTGTCTGTTGAAAAAATGGTCAAAATCTCTGCTATCAAATTAGACCTCAATCGCGAGCACACAATTGAAGGGACACATCGGAAGCGCATACAATGTTCATTTGGCTATGCCCCATCAGCAAATGACTGCGACCCAACAGGGAGTCGCCTAGAGCCTGAGCTTGGGCACCCATCTTCAATTCCCGATGATGCCAATCATTCATACTTGTCATTCCGGGCCAACCTGCTGGACAATCTCAACGAGGACTCAGATGCTGGCCATCTCCCAGTATCCCATAACACACATGACTCTCGGCATGTAAGCACTTCCTAGATCCCACTCTATCATTGATATTTAACTCCATTCTAATTAGTGGACGAGTTTACAAGGTAAAATGATACGCAACATTTTTAACATGACCCTAGATGGGCCATGGAATCATTACTGGTTCCAGGGTGTACAGAATATGGCCCAAGAGCTGGAGATGCAGGATCTAGTTGTGAGAGATATGAATCTAGACCTGGACTCAAGTTTGAGCCAGGTCGCGGGATGGGGCCAATGAGTTCGGCCAATTCCGATACATTATAACTATATAGTCTTTCATCACATGTTTAGATACTCTCAAATGTATTGGATTTGACCAATATATCTAGTCCCTGTGACAATTGACCGCGATCAGATACAGTGTCTGTCACTTGACCATTTGACCAGGTGATCTGATAGCGTCAAGTCCAACCCTGCACACCCACCACCTCGTGACCTACGCCCACACCCGCACCCCCAACCCCCGCAACCCGTCCCACGTCAGGCACAGGTCCACAACCAATGGACCTCGACCGATCGAGGACTGACCAAAGACGGAAGGGGTTGTGCTACAATTGCAACGCCCCGGGACATGTCACACGAGAATGCCCGCACCCCAAGGTCCACCAAGTCTGACGCCTGCACCCGGAGGACCTACGAGCATTGATGGAAGGGCTGAAGAGGCAGTTGGGTGAGGGACCAGAGGCAGAAGAGGGAGAGACGGGGCCAGACCCCCAGGAAGAGGATTTTCAGGAAGGCGACCGGTGAGGGATGCGCCCCGGCCACCTGTAAAAGATAACCTGTGTAAATACCGCAACGTGCGCGAGTCAACGCCACTGCAGAAATTCCATCGAGTTATCGCAAAGAAAAAGAGGAAAAGTGCATCCTCTACCCACAGAAGTGAGAGACCCCGGAGCTAACACCCAAAGTAGTGGTGTCCCCACCTGCCATTTATGTCCTTTCCAAACAATCCCCCAGGTTACTCAACCTCATGGTGACGTTGACCGCCCTGACCTCTCTCGCCCCCGTATCAGTGTCAGCCCTCCTGGATTCAGGGGCCACCGGGAACTTTGTAAGCCCTGAGTTCGTCCGGAAGCACAGGCTCGAGACCACCCTGCTCCCACAGCCCATACCCGTCCGCAACGTCGATGGCACCCCGAACGAGAATGGGGCCATAACCGAAGAACTGGAAGCCCTCCTGACGTTCGGACAACATACAGAACGGGCCCGCTTTGCAGTTGCAAACCTGGGACGCCAATCCCTCATCATAGGGCACTCGTGGTTGCTGCATCACAACCCAGAGGTGGACTGGGCACGACAGAAGGTCGTCATGTCCCACTGCCCATCCTCCTGCAGGGGGCCGCAAGTGGGAGACGACCAAAACCTCATGGTAGAGCCCAGGGACGGGATCTACGCTGCGATCCTCCCCCCGGGGTGGGGACATGACCTGAGAGCAACCACGACGCCATCCCAGCGGATGGCCCAAGAGGCCCACGACCCGGGGGCAGAGCCCGTGCCGTTCGAGATGTTGGTACCAGAGCACTACCAGGACTTCCGGGACGTGTTCTCTAAGGAAGCCTTTGACCAGCTACCCCCCCGAAAGCCCTGGGACCATGCCATAGACCTGGTGCCAGACACGAAGCTACCCAGAGGAAAGACCTTCCCTCTCTCGCAACCCAAGCAGAAAGAACTGGATGAGTTCTTACGGGAAAACCTGCAGAACGGGCGTATACACCCATCCAAATCCCCGATGGGGGCGCCAGTCTTCTTTGTCAAGAAGAAGGATGGGTCGCTGTGCTTAGTCCAAGATTATCGGAAACTGAACGAAATCACGGTCAAGAACTCATACCCGCTCCCCCTCATCTCAGATGTTCTCGCCCGCCTTCGCAACGCCAAGTACTTTTCGGCCCTGGACCTACGTTGGGGGTTCAACAACGTCCGGATCAAAGATGGGGACGAGTGGAAGGCAGCATTCGCGACCAACCAGGGGTTATTCGAACCCATGGTGATGTTTTTCGGCCTGTGCAACTCCCCCGCGACCTTCCAGACCATGATGAACGACATCCTTCGGGATTTCATCGACCGGGAAGTTGTCATTTGCTACATGGACGACATCCTCATCTTCACCGCGACCCTAGAGGAACACCGGAGGGTAGTACGGGAGGTCCTGGAGATGCTGCGAAGGAGGAAGCTCTTCCTAAAGCCTGAGAAATGTAAATTCGAGCAGACACGGATTGAGTACTTGGGCCTCGTCATCTCTGAGGGCAACGTGGCGATGGATCCCGTGAAAGTCCGTGGAGTTCTTGACTGGCCGGTCCCGACCAAAGTGAAGGAGGTGCAGTCCTTCCTAGGGTTCGTGAACTTCTATCACCGGTTCATCAAGGACTTCTCAGAGAAAGCACACCCCCTCCACAAGCTAACCCGGAAAACCCAAGCCTGGAATTGGGGCCCAGATGAGGACGGTGCCTTCCTAGCCCTTAAAGAAGCCATCACTACTGCACCCGTCCTCTCCTTCCCTTCAGACTCCGGCCACTTCAAGCTCGAATGTGACGCTTCGAACTTCGCAACCGGTGCAGTCCTCTCCCAGCTCCAATCGGATGGGGAGTTCCACCCAGTAGCATTCATGTCCAAGAGCTTCACGGACGTAGAACACAACTACGAAGTGTACGACAAGGAAATGCTGGCGATCATCCGAGCCCTTGAAGAGTGGTGGCACTTCCTAGAAGGCGTTGAAGAGAAGGTTGAGATCTACACCGATCACCGCAACCTGAGCTATTTCCGGATGGCCCAGAGGCTGAATCGACGCCAGGCCAGATGGACCCTCTTCCTCTCCCACTTCCACTTCACCCTCGTCCACCATCCTGGGAAGCTCATGGGGAAGCCGGACGCACTCTCCCGTCGTGCTGACCACCCGAAGGGGAGAGACAACAACAAAGGGCTAACTCTTCTCCAACCCGCCTGGTTTGAAGCCCGCGCGACAGAGGCAGTTTCGATGGAAGGTGAAGAGGCGGGTATTCTGGGAAGGATACGTGAGGCAAAGGACCATGACGAGAAGGTAGTGAAGGCCATGCGAGAGCTGGGCGAAGGGACGTTAAGGTCGGATGAATGGGAGAAGCAGGGTGACCTGATCCTGTACCGGGGAAGG